TATGCAGTCGACCTTTCCACACTTGCAGGAGGCTGTAGGCAACAAGCCCCGAAGGTTCTCAGGAATAGTACATCCTCGACGATCCTAGGGGCTTGCTGCACACGATCTTCGGGAATATATCTAGTCGACCTCATACAACCAGGCCCCGAAGGTCGTCGGGATATTCCCCGAAGACTTGAGATTTGCTGCATACGGCCTCAAGAGTCAACCAGCATTCGCTTTGATGGATCGGTATTCACTTCGATAAGGATTACTTCTTTGCCTGCTAAGCAAAGAAGGTCTAGATGCCAACCGTTGGTTTTCTCTGTCGTGTCTTCCCTTTTTGGATGACGCATTTTTGTCTTTGATGGCGGTGCTGAAAATTAAGGGCAATGGGGTTGCCTTGTAGAACCATTTCTTTACGTCGACGTCGACCTTGTTCCATAATAAAAGAACTCTAGCATGAAGTTGCTACATAGCTGTCTAAGAAATTCCATGTACTGAATCCCGATCGCTCGGTGCTGCGGTGTCTTGTTTCTCTATAACGTCAACTGCATTTTTCAAGCCAATGAGCATGAGTCATAGCAACATATTGTATTACTTTCGTGATCACGTGTATGTGATCGAATGTGCAGAACCCTAGTCAAAGCCTTTATGGATATGATTGACTGTGCAGAACCCATATCAACGTTCTACTAACTTGCGTGGCTCTCCTTCAGCCAATGTTCTCAACTTCCTAGGGTCAAAAAGTTTTGGGCTGTAGGAGTTGAACAATTAAATTGTGTGTTTCAGAATGGCACTACTGAGACGTACAATGTTCCTGTCAACTCTACACTTTCTGTGGGAGGCGAATGTGTCGATACATATGGGAATCAAACTGCCCAGTCTTTGAAGGTGAGTATTCTAGTATTTGATTTCTGTTCACTATGAGAAGTGCTTGTTTATCTATTTTTTTTTATTTATTTACCCATTACCTAACTAATGAGAATTGAAACTCACAATCGGCTCACAGAATGGTTGTGCAGTGCACGCATGATTCCTTCAATATTTGTATTATAGTGAAGTGCTGAAACCGAAATTATTCTAGGTCTTCTAGGCTTTGCTTATTCTGAATGCTTTGTTCATATTAATTTTGGAATTGGTGTTCTGGAATGTTACATGTTTAGGTTAGCTTCTTCCCAATGGGAAACAACACTCCGGCCATATCCGCACAACCGTGGGATTTAAAGTTGGTTTTCGGGCATAGCGACAAGACTACTTTCGAACTACTTGATTACTCACTGACCACGGCTCCAGTGATGGGAATGAATGGCACATTTATTTGTACGTTATTATTCATAGTTGCGTCGAAGCCAGTAATAATGTGCGACTTTTCAGATAATTTCACGAAAACAGCTTCCCATATTGATCTTCAGGGTCACGAGAAAAATGCCTTCAAGGTATGCTATCAAGGAATTTATTAACAAGGATTTTTTTTTAAAATTTTCTTTAACATTCTGCACTAATGTGATGCTGGAGCGGACAGAATTTAATTGGTGTTTTTGCTTTTTTTCGTACTGGGCTTTGCCTGAAAAATATCTTGAAGGGGACCGACAAAAGCGGCTGAGCAACTGCTAGTAGTGAACGCTCGCATTTTTATTAGCGCAGCTCTCCGCTCTCCAAACAGTCGTTCTGCTCCCTCCAATTATTCTTCCTCTCACTGTTTTTTTTGCTTCATCGAAAAAGCAGATGGGCTTCCACATTCCAGGGCGGAAGCGGTGGTAGTGAGGGCGGAAGTGGTGTAGTGACAAGTGGCGCGCTTACCACGCGAGCGGTCCGGGATCAAATCCTGGGTCGTGAGTCGCCCGGGCCAACCAAGCCTTCCATCCCTCCGGGGTCGGTTAATTGGTACCAGACTTGTCTGGGAGGATAAAAACACTGACTTGTAACATCGGCTGGCCCCCGCAAGTCATTGTATAGGCCACATCGCATTCAAATGCCACTGCGAATGTACAAATGGAAGTAGAATGCGTGCCGCATCCCAAAAAGGGATTGATCAACGGCAAATGCTTTATCCTTTATCCTTTATCATTCCAGTGTCCAACCGCCGAATCTTTCCTATCGAAATGTTACAATGATACGCTGAGAATTGAAAAATGTCGGTTGTTTTTTTTTCCATTTGTCCCCCCCCACCCCCTCCGCTTTTATCCGCGTTGGAACAATCACTGAACTCCCTAAGAGAGCAAGTATGTACCGACTTGATACTGATGATGAGATGTACTAGTGTTGAGCTATTCGTTTGCAGCCTTCGAACAGTGTCTACTTGACTCACGTTACTTCGGATATTGTACCGATCGTTGTTGGTGCATGTCTTGCTGGACTCGTCGTCATCGTTCTTGTCGCTTACCTGATCGGAAGAGCTCGCGCTAAGCGTCAGGTTACGCTAGCGTCTAGAGGCCTTTTCATTAAGAAGCATTCCGCTTTCTGACCATCATGTTGTGGTATTCATCTTTATTTTTATGGAAGTATTCATTTTTTTGTATTGTGAAACTCTTTCATTCAGTAATTTCGATGTTACTTGCTTACTTCATAATTACTGAAAGAAGGAGTTGTTTAGTTTATTGATTATCACTGGACGCGGCAGTATCGTTGTGTCCACCATCACACTTGTTGAAACTGCGATACCTTCGAAGAGCCTTATTAGTTTTTTCTTGTTCATGTTTTGTGGATGTTGTAAGTTTACATTTAGAAGATGCGTTTGTCGCGTGTAGTCATTGACGTGTATCTTTTGAAACTTAACTTGTTATCTTTTGCTACATTGTTGTGCTGAATAATAAAGTAGTTTGAATTTTAATTATTTTTCACAACGTGGTAAAATCCAGAGTTATACTACGCGTTGTCCAGTCCAGTCAAGTGAACAGCAGCATATCAGTAACGGTTCATATTTTGCGAACTAAATTTTAGTAGACGCATTAGCAAGATCTTTTTGTTGCTTTATTTCAACTTGACGAGTAAGCTGCGAATGTGATTGCTCACACGCAAGTAGCGAATGAATAGTAGGTTTTCGAATTTCGGTGGTGCGTTCTCACAGAAGATTGGTAATTGTTTCTCCATTACCTGGACGCCACCTTTACGCGCTTGTAACTTCACACCCCTGTTCCGCATTCTTCTAGCCTTCAAGGTCCCGGTTTCAGAGCTGTTTTCAAAATCAGCTGGTTACAGTTGTAGTGCGGAGATCCTTTGGTCTATCAAGTTCATTCTTGAGCTACATAGTTAGGACCTCGACCTCAAGGTGTTCTCAATTTAGGCTTCTCAGTTTATTCAAGGATCGTATGCATGCCTTATGCCATACTGTTTAAACTTTGAAGGACATCTTATTTTACTTCCCGAAATATTCCTTATAAGGTGATTCGTTCATGGGGAAAGTTCTAGTAAGGAGAGTTCGGTTAAGATAAGTTCCGAAATAAGGTGATGAAGGTGTATTAATCCCAATTTTCTTTTGTGTGCATTTTAGCGTTTGAAGGAAAATTTGGTAATCGAGTGCTGCAGTGTTCGCATACTATCGGCTACTTAATTTTTCATCAATCATTTGAGCTCTCTAAAGCTTCCAATAGTTATAACAATGTTGTTATTGTCTAACGTTCGCCGCCCATTGTGAGTTTTATTCAGTGTTGTATTGTTTGTTTTTTTTTTTGTTTCAGCGGATTAGTCTCTCACCAGAATTAAGGGTGCAATATTTATCAGCTTTAATGAGCCGTAGCGATGGAGGGAAAGGGTGGAGCCATTGAGTGCAAATGGCGCATTGCTTCATGACTATGCACATCGAGAACGGATTTCCGCAGGCCCGGGGAGCAGGGTCAGTCGCCCATCGGTAGGCTTCATTCAGAATTGGCGAAGAGCTGGGATGTCATTCATGAAAGTGGAAGTAGAAGGGAGTGTTGTTGCGACGGGGTTTTTGACGGTAATGGTGAGAATTTACGAAAGAGGTGTTTAGGCCAAATTAGATGGAGAGAATTTTCCGCTCTTCGGGCATATTTACACCTCTTCCACCATTCGGCGGCCATATTGGAGAAGAAGTGGGCGAAGTGGGAGCGTGTGGACTGATCTCGGCGTTGAATACTATGTTTGTTAACAGACATGATGAGAAGAGGGTAGTAGCTGTGGATCGTATTGAGCTGCCTTCTTGAAGGCTGATGATCGTATTGGGGGTCGTACCGTGATCCCCTGGACGGGGGGGGGTCATAGAATTTTTGAAAAAGTACCAACGTTAGGGTAGGCCTTGCCAGCGAGTGTGGCATATGCGGTGAGGTGGAGGCGATAAACCCAGACATCGGGTCGCAGAAATAGGAGTGTACGAGATCATAACGGGACACCCGTTCTCGTGGGCAATGTTGTGCGCTAGATCTTATGCTACGTTAGAGTTTGATTCCTGTTCAGACATTTTTTGCAACGTTTCAAACACTCGGTATCTGTACATATTGGAAGCGGTGACCCAATTGAACTAACAACAGGTATTGCTCATTGCATTTGTCGTTATTTTTCGTTTTTGATTACGCTCATTATAGGGCATATGGCCAGGTTTGCATCTGGATCGGTGGTTGCTTCTTGTGGTTCTAGCGCTGTGAGTAACCTCTTAATTTTTTCAGCATCCTGTTTTGGACAGTCTCGTAATAACTTCGGTGGCAATCGCAGCGACATGACTACAGTGATATCGTGTTCATGCGGTCGTCCTTTCAAATATAAACGCGCAGTTTTTCTTTATGTGTGACTCAGGCGCACAATATGGGTTACCACGCGTCATCACGCCCTTACACTTCCGAATTGCACGTCAAATGTGGCGAATTTGCCTCGCTAAAGTTCCCATGTGACTATTAGGGGGGGGGGCCAGGCAAAACGTGGCGGACACTACAGGGCGCGAATAGCGGACCCGAAGAAGGCTCTTTGCAAAGTGAAAAGGAGCCCAATAGTTGCTTGATGTCGGCATTGGCGTGAAATACTCTATTTTCCGAGGTGGGTTATATTGCAAAATAAGGGGTGGGTGGGTTATATTGCAAAATAAGGGCCTTTTAGCCATAGTGAGTAATGAGCTTTGCTTGCGCATGGGGCTGAAAATGTCACTAGCGCGCTTAATGCCTTGGTTTTCTGTTTCTCTGCATTCAGTGTGAATGTGATTGACGTCTTATTCTATTTATGTTGTGTCATTTACACATTTACTGCTACTTAGTTTATTTCTTATGCGATTTACATTCCAAATTGTGGAGCTCATCTTCCGTTGATGATCGCGGTACATAAAACTGCCTATGAGCGGGGGCTCTCACACATTAGAAGCACTCTGTCTACTCAGCGAAGAGAATTTTAGTTGACAGAAATTTGTTACTATTTCAGTCTCGGGTGAGAGTGGAGTCCTTGTAATTAGGTTTATTTAGGTTCTGAGTACTTGTGTTTACCGAAGATCGTCAGGCAGCCATCAACCAGGCCAAGACTTTGTACCTTTACTGGTTGATTTCAAACAAAGTGCGGCAGCAGTAGGCAAGATTCCGACAAATTATTTGCGTCGTGAACTCGGTCAGACGGATGCGGATATTCTTGCATCTCGAGTTATCGACCGATCTCTTCGTCCACTATTTCCAGCTGGCTGGGTGAATGAGACACAGGTAAATAGATTATGCCAAAATTTCTGAGCTCACTGGATGACATGAGTAACGTACTGCTAAGATAGTGGTGAAGCCTCTGGCCGTTGAAGACGAAGGCGACGTTGTGTTGCTGGGTTTAAATGCGGCTGCTTCTTCTCTTCACTTGTCCGCTGTACCTTGGCTCGGCCCTGTTGCTGCTGTTCGTGTGGCACTCATTGATGATAAGGTATGAAAAACTTTGGTTACTGTTTTGAAGGAACTTTGTTTAATGCTTATATATCTTTTCTTTGTTTTTTGTTCTATTTTGGTCGTTGCTTCATCGCGTAAACCAATCTACCCGCTCGCTAGTCCAATCCTCCCACAACGTGATCTGGACTTCCCTCTCACTGAAGTAGCCATTAATCGTAGCGGTGTTACTTAGAGAAGATTAATATGGTTCTTGCCTTTGAGAAAAAAAGGTGAAAAAAAAGTAGCGGTTGAGAACATCTACAAGTGAGTCATCTACAAAGTACGGTAGTATTGTGGCACCGAAAGTGCAGTTTGAATTATGAGATGGTTCTCTGCAGCTACGTCCTTATATATTTATATCTACAATGTATCGTGTTAGAGGAAGTTTTGAGATCATTGGCCCAATTTACACTTAGTGAAAGCTTCGGGTACACGTTGACTGCGACGCCAGGTTTCCTGATAATATTGGCCCAGGCTACATTCAGTGACTTTTCAAGGTTTCACTTGTAGTGCATCTGAAGGCGGAGTTTACGTACAAAAGGCAGTACATTGAAATTCAAGAAGAGGTAGTCAATATGCAAGGATTAAGGAAAAAAATCGGCCTGGATCGCGTCTCTGCCCTTTGATTTCTGCAATGATATGTCTCATCTTTGCTACCATCATCGAAGCTAACGCTCTCTGCTATGCGGCCAGAGTCAGACGGCGAAACCATCGGTGAACGTGCAGCGGCGCAAGCGGCGCTGATACAGCCTTGCTAGGCTGCTGGAATCATACGCCTCTTATCGGAACACGCATAGTCAGGCACCCTTGAGGGCCCACTTACCTTTCGACTAGGTGTATTTCCTCTTCTTCGACCTCCGACCTTGCCCTTCTCCAAAAGAGCAGCATCCACTCCCAATATAGATCTGCTGGGGTGACGTGTGGCGAATTTGCCTGAGATTCAAGCAAAACTTCGGGAACCGGCTTTGCACACCAGTCTATCAAAGACAAAAGTCGCGCAGAATGGGTGATGATGGAAGGTTATGATGAGTGGTGGAGAGGGTAGATAAGTGTTCAAACAGACGTTAGGTGGCGCTTTCTTGGCAAAAGGCATGCTGTCACGCTGTCACGGCGTAATAGGGCGCGGGAGACACCTTAATCACGGACGTGCCCCCCCCCCCCCCGGCATGCGGAAGAGAGGATAACGGCAATGTATAATATTTGAAATGAAACCGTTATCCTTATCGTTAGGTTTTCGTATTGAAGTACGTTGTTGCACCGGCCACCGAATCGGCAACTTCCCATCGATTGCGCGGTTAGCACGATACCAGGTATTAACTTTACCGAAACGACTTCTACGCTAACAATAAACTCCCCCTCTCCTGTCTCAGACCTAAGAGAGTCCCAAATACTTGGATTTTGACTAACAT